CAGTCACAGCCTCAGCTCCACCACCAGCACATTTGCCAGACATCCACAGGAAGTGAAAGGCTGAAAGAGATCGCCTCCATTCCCCCACGAGCAGGAGGAAAATACCAGAATAGGATATGGTTCTGTGAGCCACATCCATTTCCCTGTTCAAGGACTGCAGCAAAGGCAAAATAAAACCATGAAGATAAAACCTTATATGACTAAGGAAACATAAATATATGTAATCAGTTTAAAGTACTGTACTCAGGTCTGATTTTTTGATGAATCAAGCACCTTCAGTTTCTAAGAAGAGCCATATAGAGTTACAGCTCTTTCCCATTTCCCAGTATCAGGCCTGTTGTTGGCAGTTGTTCATATATAGCTGCTATATAGCATAGTTCTATTTCTTACACTTTGGAGACCTTTCCTTGAAGTCAATTTGCATTATGCCTGGGCAAATATTGCAATATCAGGCTGCTCATTAAAGCCCTGGGACCACTACTGCCCCTGTTTGAATTTTGCATTACATCAGTCAAGGATACACAATTATCTGTGGAGTACTTCTGAAATGGCCAAGGTCACATGAGGATTTTATCGTATTACTGCAGTGCACCATCTTCCTTGCCAGCCCATTGCTGTTCTGCTACAGACTACATTACCATGCATCAGCAAATACATGAGCACACTGCTATATTTAGTGTTTTATACATACCACTAAAATAGAGGATGTGTCAGCTTTTAATCCAACTTCAAATTTTTGTCAGCCAAGTGAGGGCTCATTTTCCCTACCAGTGATGAAGTGTGCTCTGTGTTAGTCATCTTGAGCTATGTGGTGATAACTTTAAAATACATTAGGCAGCTAGAATGCTCAATCTGAGTGGAATGTTTTTTACTAAGACATATACTGGGGGATAGTAAGGACACACAGCATCAGTCAGCCAGGTTTTAATGGTGATTGCCACAGGCTACCTGCAAACCCAGCAGCAATCTGATGTCAAGAGGAGCAGCTAAGCAAGGTGTTCTCTGGGGTACCACAGCAGACAATTAGGACCTCCTACACTGCAAGAAGAGATAGGTGGTGCAGACTGGGTTTGGTGTTATGTACCTGGCAATATGAGAAGAGAAACATTGATGATGATGACTTGAACAGAGTGGTCTATTGCATGGTGATGGCACTGGAGCAGTTCTATTAATGGCATAATCTATTAATGACATCAGGAATGTGGTTTAATGGCTGAGACCACAGGTACCACCAGGATAGCCACATTCATTCCCAAAGAATGCAGAGTTCAGTAGATGGATCTGGTGTTTTGAGAGGTCCTGGTAAATCCACAGAACAGGGTATTTTTTACACATTTGTAACACTTGCTTATTGATGTCATCACATACAAGCAGTACACGTATGAATTGCCGTCCTGTCTACCGCTTCTACAGAAAGACAACAGACAACTTGCTCACCTCAGGCCAAGGCTGAACCTGTCTGTGTGAAACCAGCTTTTCCACTCCTTGTCCTCAGATGCTCCACAACTGGTTGTCCTCTCTTGCAACTGTCCCTTGCACCTTGCTAACTACATCTTAAAGGGTGTGGGCAGTACTGCATTTGTAGCCTAGGTCTAAGTCCAAAGAACATTGTATTTACTTAATAGCATGAAATGATATAAATATATAAATATCTAAGTCTTTGTGGAACTCTATTTCAGCCCAACCCAGAGCTGTCATCCCAGCCCCATGATGGTGTGGTAGGGCTGTTCTCTGCCACAGCCCTTCCCAGCTATGTGACTCAACTTGCAGACTGGGTCTGGGAACATCCCATCCCATCCTTGGCCCATCCTTGTCCCCAGGCCTCATCCTGGAGTTGTCTAACCTCTGTTTCCATGTCTGCCCCAGTCCCCAGGGAGCCACTGGCTCATGCTGCATCCTGTCATGATTAAAGAAAACAGAAAGTAGAATAAATTCATGCCTCTAGAATCACATCTCACCATTATTTAAATTTTTTGAATGGTTAGATCATCATTAATTCCAGTGTATGCAGTGTTATAAGTACCAATGTTATTACATCTGGAAGTAATGACACAAGGCCTGTCAAGCATGCAGTGACACTGCTAGCAATGCTGGTACTTAAAATGAGGTTCCCTTGTGTGGCTGGGTGGTCTGTGCAGCTGTAGCTTTTCTTAGACACATTTTGGGTATCCTGCTTACAATATTGCAAGGCACCCACTACAAACCCAGGTAATAGAAGCCCCAAAATGTAGCATTTATTTGAGGAAAAAAAAAAGTAACAGATTTCAACAAGAGAGAGAACAGGATTCCAAAGGGCAGGTTTTTTTCCCTCTTACATGCAGAAATGCTTTACATGGAGGATGACTGGCAGCTGAGGACAGCCCAGCCTTGGGGAAAGGTCTGCAGAAGTTCCCAGCCCTGAAGCTGCAGCAGCTCTGAGCTGCCCTGTGAATCCCAACTCCTGGCAGGGTGGGGTTATAGGTGCTACTTGGTGGGGAGGGCAGGGTGACCCACTGGCACTCTGGGAAAAGACTCTTCTGGCCTTTGAGAGCTCAAGAGCTCTGACCAAGAAAGGGGTCAGAAGAATAAATGACAAAAGAGAATCAGATAGAACAAGAAGTAACCATGTAAGGGGATAGTGATGCAGAAAACAAACTTGAGTAGAACACTGAGTGTTGTGTTCTGTGTGTGGCTGATATGGGCAGGATAGGTTTTCTCCTCATGCAATAAATTCCAAAACCTTACTATTTATTATCCAGAAAGCACAGAAAATATCAGAAATGTTTAGCAATTGCAAATCTGTAAGAAACCCTCGTCCCTCAGTTCAAGACTTAGATTTGCCCTTTTTTGTAATTTAAATAATGTTTTCTCTTTTTATCTCTCTCTCTCTTTTTTTTTAATTCTTCAATATAATGAATATCAAAGCCAAAAGTTTCAAAGTTAAATAAAAATTAACACTTCTCATTTAGAAGACTGTTAAATCATTGCATGCTGAGACACGTGTACCTATTTTACAGAAACAATTTGAAATAGAAATTAATGGATGCTAACTTTTTCCTGTAAAATGTTCTATTTGAAGAATATGGGCATTCTCTGCCAGAAATTTTTAATGATAAATTTATTACCAGCTCTACCATATGCTAGGTTTCTATGACTAAAGTTTCACCTCAGTGACCAAACTGACCTGTCATTCTTCTTTCACGCCTGCAGTCATCAGATTTTCAACCATCATTTTACAGCTCTACCATTAGGCTGGGTGCTGAAACTTTCTCTTTTAGTGACAAAATTAATATTGTCATAAAAGTAAAACAATTAAAAATCAATCATGCTATAAAATGGGAATGCTGCTAAAATAGTTTTATTTAAAGAGCATATGACATTGACACGTTTTCTTTGAAGTAAGACTTCAGTGGCACTTCAGAGAGGTTTTGATCCAACAATGAATACAATTAAAACAATTTCTCAGTCAATCTTAGCACTTCTGGAATTTGTTTACCATTGGAAAAGCCCAGGCATGTGTTTCATTGGCAAACACCATCATGGAATAAACCCACATCCAAATCATAAAGCAGGAAAAGTTAACGTGTATAGAGCTTGAATGAAAATACACACATTTACACTCAGCCTTTTGTTGACCTGAAGTTAAGTACATGAGGGTGGAATTACCTACAGAGACCTGAGTTTTCTAGCCCAGGGTTTCTGGCATTTTGCTAAGCCAACATGTTTGCCAGCAGAGCCACTGAATCAGTGAAACTGGCTCCAAAAAGCTGCATTCATCTGATTCTAACCGAGTTAAGGTTGGCCCCTGGAATGAACTGTGGATGCAGTTTAGATCAGAGACAGATGCAAGAAGAAATCACTCAGTGAGCAAACTGGCTTAAACTAGTCCTTCAGGCCAAAAAAAAGATGCTAAGTCATCTAGGGACAGAGGGGTAATTACAGCAGCAATGTCCAATTGCTTTCCTTTTAATTGGCACACACTGCATACATCCTGACTAACAAAACAGAAAATGCAGTCAGAAATGGGTGACTCCAGAGGTCAGTTAGTTTATATCTGAAATATTTCTAGCTGGCAAAGACTTTTGTGGGAAGGAGGATTCATCTAGACTTTGGGGACATTTCTTTTTGCAAAACTGTGGGCTGCTATTAAACCCCAGTAACCCACATTCTGGGAAGCAGTTCCTTTTCTCTGTATTTCTTAATTGTGCTTCATTACAATTTAATAAGGACATTTACTCTCAATTAAGCAAATCACCCAAGCAGTTTTTTACGCCTCTTGCAATTAATTGGTTTTGTCAAATGCAGGTTTAATTGTGTGTTAAGTATCTTGCTGAACTAGGATCTGTGTGTGTGTACATATCTGTCTATCCAAACCTCTCCTTAGCTCCTGGCATGATAATGTATGTGTGGTTCAGGGTATCTGAGTCTTTACCTGTGCTTACTGCTCTGGTCTTGGTGTCTCGCTAGCCCTAAGTAATTCCTCCATAATGGTCAAACTCACTAATGCTGTTAATGTTGAAAAATGCTTCAACCAGACAGTGGGTTCCTGCTAAGGGAGAAATCAGGCATTTGACTCTGGACATGTGGGTCCCAAGGGGTTGTTAGATTTTTGAAAAATATGCCTCTGTAACGAGCCTTTTCATCAGATTCAGCTGCTGAGTGACCACTGAGACAGAAAAAGCTCTGAGATATTCCTCATCTCAACTGACCTCTCACACACACACATACCAGTGCCATGGCAAGACCTTGAGTCCTACTCTGACACCAGTGACAAATGCTTGGGTTTATCCCCATTCTTCCAGAACTTACCTTGCAAGGTGTAAATTGCAAGGTGATGGATTATCAGCTTTCCTAAGAACCACCTTAATCCTACACCCATAGGTCATGAACAGCAGCATGGAAGTGATTGTCACAAAAGCACTGAACACCCATTTAACAGCAGAGACTCCCTGGGTCCTCTATCAATGCATGCATGGTTACACAAGCCACCAAGAAACTTTGAAGAAATAACGCAGCCTTACCTGCTTTTTCCTTGCACAGCTTCTGAAACAGCATCTGTAAGAAAGTGATTTTTCTTTAATATTGGTACATTTTTTCCTTCAAATAAGTTGCACATTTCAAGTTGACAACCTATATAATTATTAATCGCCACCATCTTGCACAAGGCATAAAATTCAGAGCTTATCAATAAAAATCGTACCAATAAAAATCATGAAGAGTAGCTAGTTTTGCTTGCTAATGACAAGCCAGCACCCATTCTCAAATCAGGTTCACCTGTCTTGCAGTAAGTCTAGCAGTCTAGTCTACTCTACAAGCAGAGTGTGTGCTGCAAGGATACATGAGGTACAATACACTGGAACACGCCTGAAATGGACTTGCGATGCTGGTGGGGCTCAGGGAGCAGACAGGCTGCTCTAAGTTGTGTAGGCAGCTGTACTGATGGGCAAGAAACAGGACACCACGACTCAGAAAGGTAGAGACATATTTCCTGTTCATCTGTGACCAAAAGAGGGTTGCTCTGCCGGAGGCTCATGAGCAAACTGACCTGCCATGTTGTTTTCTTCATATTTTTTACTTTTCTGCTTTGGGATTGCCATGCTAAATGAAAGGGGTGCCATTAACACCACATTTGGATGCACCTCTTGGTCCATTACTTTTCTCCTTAATAGATTTTAGTGCCCAAATGAGGAGTTTGTTGATAGTGATTAAATCCTTTCATAGATCCATCAACTCTCTCAGCAATGCAGGCTGTAAATGAAACTAGCATAATGGGTGGAACTGCACCTAATTTCTTTTTGAAATTAAACAGAAGGGTGAACTGATTCCTCCAGGTACCAGTGTGAAGTGCCCAATATGAAGGTCTCTGAAAAGACAGCTGTCCTGTGCCTTGCAGTGATGCACTCCCTGTTCCTGTTACGTGCTTGTCCCTACATGGACAACCTTTTCATCAGATACACCAAGTGCTCTGTTATCTCTTCAGTCAACATTGCTTTTTCAGACTTGATAGGAACCTGTCTATTAAAACATGTGCTTTATTTATCTTTTATTTAATGAAGAATTTTACCGAGATATTGGAAAATTCCTCCTCTGAGCACAAAACGGAATTGATTAAGCAACTCTCTTAAAAATAGAGAAAGTGCAGCTAGGCTACAAATTTTTTGCCTTCTGCAAGGCAATTTCATTCTAAAAGAGCCTCTTGCTCCATTGTACTGTCTGCCTGAGCAGCAGCTGAAGCTGATCTGTCTTTAGCCAGCAGGGATCAAGAGGAGTGGTCACTTCAGATGGGAAGATAATGAGTGGCTGAGCCCAAATCAGGTTTCATTTGTGGCAAAGCATCTCATTTCCACGGAGAAGTAGGAAATTCAGGCATAGGCTGTATCATCTGGCAAGGGACAGGCAGGTCCCACATGAGCACACCAGGTTTTTGGGATGCCTTTTTGAGTGTGGCATATCATGTCTCTCCACTCTTCAGCAAGCTGCAGTGTTGTTTATCACCCTGCCTGGGGACAGGCACCTGATTTTTAGTATCACAACTCTGGCATAAACCCGGTCAATGCCTAAATTGCTATACTGAATCTTTGGATAAGCACTTCTTGAAGAATACATAAATGATATGTGAATCAAAAATAAATATGTCAGTCCTTCATGGATAGCTGGTTTGTGTGTTCTAGTGCTGCCAGAAGGACACTAGCTATTAAAATCATACTCAGGCTATGTTAACTTCCAAGATCTTTTTAGGATGCCAAAAAAAAAAAAGATGCAAATTATTGCTGGAACAATCCCAAGTGGCAACAGAAAGCTGCCAACTAGAAGTGATTTATGGAAATGATAACACACTATATAACTAATTGTGTAACTAAATACATTTACTGGAGGACTAGCAACCCATCTGAACAGCATGGCACCAGCTAATCAAATATATAGAAACCATGGACCAAGAGAGTACAGTTCTAGCCAAAAGACTGCTGCAGCACCTGCTGCTATGAATAATAAAGAAATCATTTGCGTACAACTCCAGCTGTAACATTTTTCCAAGTGGAAGTGTCAAACAGAAGCCAAAGATAAATACACTCTGCTGATATAGCCATGTGTTTTTTTGCTGAAGCATGTAAACTAGCCCACAGAAACCAGAAATGTTTAGATGCTGGGTCCATTCCTCCCCCTCAGCAGTCCTGTGTTTCAGCAGGGCCATCCCACCTTCACCTCTGAGCAAAGGTCTCCAAAAGCTTGCCTGGGCAGTGTCACCCTGTGTTCTGTGATCAGAGCAGGATGAGCCAGTGACATGAATGAGGCAATTGGTGCAGCTAGCTCAGGAAAAGCTGTGGATCTATTGTTGGGAGGATATGTTGCATTTATAGAGAACCTGGCATGGCCTCAAGTTTCAACAGTTTTTATTGGATTTTAAGACAAACTTCACAGAAGTTATTGCCAATCATTGAGACAGGCTGCTTGTTCAGGGAAGGGTAGTGTCACCATCCCTCGAGGTATTTAAAAGATGTGTAGATGCAGATGTGGCACTCAGGGACATGGTTAAATGGTGAACTTGACAGTGTTAGGTTAATGGCTGTACCTGAAGATCTTTGAGGTCTTATATAACCTAAATGATTCAATAATTCTGATTTTCCTGAAAGGCATTCTGTGTGGAAAAAAATAATTCAAATGAACTCCTTGGATGAAGTGGAAGTGAAGGTAGAAGCAAAACACCACAGCATTATAAAGTCAATGAGGAAAATAAACATATACATCAAAAAACAGTTTCTCTGATGTATACATAATCTTTCATGGTTATAAGTGATCAGAGCATGGAACTCATCAAACAACTGGATTAAATGACTTAATAACATCCCAGAAAGCTTATTGTCACATAAAAGCTTTTTTTTTTTTTGTTTGACACAGATTATGAAACAGTTGACTTGAACAACTTCAAAACCATTTTAATTTGCAACAGCACAGGGATTCTGCAATGCCAGCCAATCCTGTAATATCATACACCATTTCAAAGAAAAAAAATATCATTTTTCATCCAAGTCTTTTAAGGTAATTAGTATATCTGTTTAGCATGCAAATAACTCTTCTAGACATTTAATAAAAAAGCTAGAGGATTTATTCAACATAGATATGGTTTCAAAAATATCACTGCTATCAAATAAACCCTGGCATTTGGACAGGGCTACTTTACATCTGCTGTTAATAAAAAAGGCTTTGGATTCTGTAAACTTATATTCTGCAGTGAGCAACCAGCAGCACCACTCTGAAACACGACTCTCCTTGCAGAGGAAAAAGGATAAATCTGTATGACTTCCAACTGGTTCACTGATACTGAAGGAAACAACTCTAAACTGAAAAAGGTCCTGCAAAGTATAAAGATTGAAAATCATGCTGGTTCTTCATTCTACCAATTTAATAACCTGCTAGGCTTTAATTGGAGTGACATATAGGCAGCTTTAAAGGAGGAAAACAGCAATCCACATGCAAAACTCAATCATCTGCATAGCGGGTTTATTAGATCCTTTCAGAAAGATGTTGACAGAAGGAAAGAAAATCCTAGTTTCTGCTTCAAAATAAAATTCTACAGCCCAAAAAGGGAAGTAATATTAGGACACTAGGCAATGTTAACCTTAACTTGAAGTTACCTGGCCCCTGCAAGGAGATCTTCAGTCTGGGTGACACTTGCAAGTTCCCTAGAGAACGTTAGCTGAGAATTATGGCAATACTGAAGCTATTCTGCAGAAAATACTGTTGAGACTGCTGTGTCAGAAATTCGATTTCTCTCAAAGACTTGGCACCCATCTTTGGTGCAGGGTTGAAATCGCTGATGGATTTTAGTGCTTAAGATGTATCTTCAAAGGCTGACAACAGGGCTCATAATTTTCCTTTCAAATACAACCACTGCAGAGGTGTTTATTAGAGACCATATTTAATATATGACTGGAGTGCTATTGGAGAAGTCACTTGTGGCATGGCAGATGGATCTTGGTTGGAAGGGATCTGCCTCATACCTGTTGCATCACAACATGTTGGCCTCCTCACCAGGTTAGAAAGTAGGGGGAAGGTGAAATTCTTGATTTCTTCCACTGAACCTGAGCTACTGTGCTGCAAACTATTCATGATGGAGTCAAAGAAAGAAAGTCTGCAGTCAAGCAAGTCTTCATGCTTGTTCACAAGAAGAGTGACCAGCAGGTCAAGGGAGGTTATTCTGCCCCTCTACTCCACTCTCATGAGACCCCACTGGGATTGCTGCATCCAGCTTTGGGGACCCCAGCACAGAAAAAATGTGGTGCTGTTGGACCCAGAGGAGGGCCACAAAGATGATCAGAGGGCTGAAACAACTCTCCTATGAAGACAGGGTGAGAGAGTTGGAGAAGACTCTGAAGAAGAGAGTTGGAGGCTCTGGGGAGACCTCACTGCAGCCTTTCAGTACCTACAGGGGGGCTTCAAGCATCTGTAGGAATTCAGAGGACACAGACACGTCTTTTGAAAACCCTAAACTTAATATTCTGAGCTGTGTTCTAAAAAGGTAAGATTGTAAATATTGCCTAGAGATATAAAAGCATATTTAATAATTGTGCACAGCTGTTACAAGACACATAATGAAAATTTGAAAACAATTTTCCCTAGTTTAGTATTTTAGTTGGTAAAATTACCCTCACTCACAGTTTTCAAAATGCATTTTACTTTAGTCTAAATACTTATTTTATTTAATTTTGCACCAAGATCGGCACTGGTTCAAAAACTCATAGAAGGGAGTAGTTATTCAGTTGCTTTTTTCTGTTTGCTACTACTATGTATCTATTTTGCCTAAGTACTATTGATAGAAGTTTAGAAAATAATGTGACATTTCTTATGTCTGCTGTTTTGAAAGCTTTGATCAAATAGAAATCTGCCTGGAAACTATTTTAAAGTGAAAGCTTTTGAATGACATTAAAAAAAGGTTTACAATAAGTGGAGCAGGGCAATAACAAAGTATATAAAAATGAAAATCATTTCAACAATGTTCCAAGTGAGATTAGAAGAAAATGAGCTACAAGACTAACAGTAAAGGAACATGCATTTCA